CCACACTAGGGGCGGCTCAAGTATACGCATGGCCAAAAGCAAAATTTAATATGAGGCCTAAATTTTTAAAAGAAAGTTATACGATATGTTTTTATTTAAAGTCTATTTTTCTAGGTTTTTGAGATACGGAGTATTAATAATTCTTTTTAATCGATTTCCCTAATTATTCATTTTCAATTAATAATATAGCCAACTCATTTAATCTTTCTTAAAATATTGTTAATTTTAGATAAGATTTTGTAGAGCAATAAAAGTACTGAACGTTTAAATTTCTTGGAGAAAGAAGGTGAATAAGAATATTAAAGAGAAAGACAGAAAATATGTTGGAGTTTCTGAAATATGAAGAGATCGGAAAAAGAAAGATTGACTTGGACAAAAGAAAGGGAGAGTAAAATTTTTACACGTTATCTAATAAAGGAGTAAGAAGTGAAAAATTGAAATGTTGGAAAAACTATTCATCTACCCATGTTTAAGTAAGTAAAATTATTACTTTATTTTTGTATCTAAAGAGCTTTCTTTTATTTTATATTAAAAACCTTTTGTATTAAAAGTACTAAATCTTATTTTTTGAATACGTATATAAACCTATTATTTTTAAAAAATGGGGCTCCCAAAAATTTGGAGGTCTAAGGCACAATCCTTACTACTCAACACATTAGAGGCGGTCCTGTCCCACATCTTATCTCACTTTATGAGTTGTTCGTTTGGTATGAGGTATAAGAAGGTATAGGGGTGATATAAAAATTTAATACTACCTTAATACTCTGTTTGGTTAGCAAACTAGGTATAATTTATCCTGGTACTAATTTTTACACCGGGATAACTTATACCTTATAGAGGATGGGGTAATTAGCATCGATATAACTTATACATTCTTCTTATAAATTATACAATTGTCATTCTTGATACAACATACCAAACAGTGAATAAACAACAATCCCAACATAACTTATCACAACATAACTTATACCGGCATAAACCCTATTCCACCCGAACTACCCCTAAGGGTATAATTATTCATATCTTATAAATCTTCCCAACTAGAAAATCCAGTTTGCTAAAGGTTCAGTTAATAACAAACTTGCATATGCCTTCACACATAAATCTAAGAAAGCCTCTCTGAAGCTTGAACTGAGAAATATAATTAATTACTCCGTACAGTAAGATCTTGATAGGTGGACTAGCTTATACTTGAAAAACACGAGACAGATAATATTCTCATAGTAGTGGTGGGCCAGGTGATCTCACATGACCTGCAGAAGTTTTCAGTCATTAGTTGGGATATGCATGTGATTGCAGCAACTGCTCAAATCAAGAAAGAAAGGGTCATCCAGAATGGCGTGACGGACGACGGAGGAACAAAGAGAAAAGAAATGCAAAAGAATCAAATTAGGCCTTGAACATTTCGCCTATGATAAAAGAGTATTAATAATTTGAGTAGCAACATATATATAGCAGGCATACATGGTCTAATTAACCTCCTTTACTTTTAATCGTCGTTTGACTTGAATACAAGCTATGCTTAGTATTAGGTAGGCTGAAATTAGTAATGTTGGGATTAATTATTCTGATACGATTTTTATTGACTGTTTGGTATGTTATATTAATTATGGAATTGTCAATTTTACCGTTTTATCATGTGATAACTTATTCTGGAATTATTATTCCATCTGACGGGTATAAGTTAACCCGATACTATTTTTAATCCTGGAGTATCTGTTGCCAGACAAGCCAACATTAGAATAGTTTTTAACCATTTTAAACAATTCATATTAAATAATAACTCAGCAACTGAAATAACTAAAATAGAATGAGGAAAAACGTAATAACAGCGATATCTAGATACAATCTCAGAACTGGTGTCACAAGTGCACGAGTGACTAGAATAATACAAACAATGGTCTGAATGAAAGTAAAACTGTCTGAGCAGTTGTATCTCAAGTCTCTGTCAGACAATCAATCTAAGCAATCTACTGACCGCCGTTGAGACCGGCCTCAATATCCGCACTAGAAGTGTAGAGTGTAGTATGAGTACAACCTATCTCATATACTTTATAAGTGCTGAGCCTAAACTCGACGAAGTGGTGTCGTGGCTAAGGCGGGTCATTTACAATAAGCTGCACATAGTATAACAATAATAACAAGAAAGGAAATGTAGAACGATAAGGCAGTTAACTGATGAAAATAAACTCAATTCTTGAAATCGGTAGCACCAGAAACATCGTGCCTCAGTACCTCGTATGGCAACACTAAAAGGTAACACAATGCAACAATGAATATAAAACACATAATCCGTTGCGGCGCAGAACCCGATCCCACCGTACAAACACAATCCTCCATTATTCCACCATATAAGTATAAATAATAACAAGTAAAATCCGTTGCAGCGCGCAACCCGATCCCACCATATAATTAGAATCAATATCATAATCCTCCCTTATTTCACCATATCAATATCACATATAAAATCTGTTGCAGCGTGCAACCCGATCCGGCCATATCAATATCAATCTTCCCTTGTTCCACCCGTTGCGACGTGCAACCCGATCCATAAACAAAATTAATAAATGTAATCAACTCAACAACTTAATTCACAAGAATCTCTGCGATTAAAGAATTATGAGAGCAAAACCATAAAGGAATCTCATACCGAGTCAAGAAATGCTACAATTAATACAATACAACAAGACAAGCCAAATATATGACAATTAAAGTATATAAGTAAGACAATTAAGGCAAGTAGTAGGTAATCGTGGAGCATGGAAGAAACGAGCATTTCAATATAAGGGAAAATAGTGACAAGTAACAAGTTAAGTCATAGGAAGCAATTAAGACATATAATAGTTAAGATAGGTTACAAAAAAATTAATAAAATACGGAAAACATGAAAATAACTACTTCGGCGGTGTATATACACTTGTCACCTCGCATATACGCTGCTACACATGTAAATTACATAACATATAGTTCAAGGGATCCTAATGCACTCAAATCAAGGTTAGACTCAACACTTACTTCGCTCCGCAAGAAATCAAAGCTCAACTGGGGCCTTTTCTCTTAAATTCACCTTTGAACCAACCAATTCTAATCAAAATCGGCTTAATATCAACAAACAATGCAAGAAAAATTAATTACAATACGTAAAGCTAAGATCTTTACACTTTTTCAAAAGATTAAACAAAAGTTAACCCCGGGCCAGTTTGGTCAAAACTCGAAATTCAAATCAAAACCCAATTATCCATTCACTACAACCCCGATTTTGCAATTAGTTTCAAAATCCGACCTCGATTTGAGGTCTAAATCTCAATTTTACAAAAACATCCAATTCTTCCCAAATTCCTAATTTTCTACCCTAAAAAAGCATAGATTAAAGTTAGAAATCAATGGTTGTTGATGGAAATGGAAGAAAAGGAGTTAACCTATATGAACCTATGAATTGGTAATGAATTTTCTCTTCAAAATCGCCTCTAGGCTGAGCTCTAATGAAAAGATGGTAAAAAATGGGTGAAATCTCGTGTTTGAGATATTTTAAAGTTTGGGAATTAGGTGTTCATCGCGTTCGTGAGACACCTGATGTGATCACGAAGCAGCAGTGGCCAAAGGCCTACGCGTTCGCGAGGGGATTCACGCGTTTGTGATATTCTTTCCCCTCTGGCCATCGCATTCACGAGCCTTGGCTCGCATTCGCGTAAAGCAAACCCTCTATCCCCCTCCTAGGTTCCTTACTCTTCGCATTCGCGAAGGGTGATCCCACCATAGCTTCGCATTTGCGTACAGAGCCTAGCGTTCACATAGAAAAAAACCTCCCTAGCCCAGATTACTCTTCGCGATCGCGAAGAAGGACACACCATATATTAGCAGTAGCACCCAAAACCAACAAATTCTTCTAAGTTCAAATGGTTCATATCCTATCTGAAACTCATCCGAGCCCCTCGAGCTCCAAACCAAGCGTGCACACAAGTGTAATAACATCATACGAACTCACTCGCGCGATCAAAACACCAAAATAACACCTAGAACCACAGATTAGACATTAAAATGTATGAAATTTTTAATGAAACTTAAGAACTTTCAAATTCACAACCGAGCGTCTGAATCATGTCAAATCAACTCTGTTTTGAACCAAATTATTTGGATAAGTCAATAATAGTAAACTGAACCTATACATGACCGAAGATAGAGTGAGCTATCAGGAAGAGAAGGGGGATGTTAGTTATATAAGTATAGCGCATGTACTACATGTGCTATACCTGACCGACTTTTCAGGTTTAGGTATAGCGCATGTAATGTATGTGCTATACTTAGTGTTTCAAAATAATAAACATAGCGTGCGGTATATCTTAACGGCCTCATTAAGGTATAGCACAAATATTATATGCGCTATACATAGAATTATATTCAAAATATTTTTTCGCCTATTTTTGTCTCAAAAGGCAACCTTTTGATTCCGTACAGAGCTGAAATACCTATGCTTTTCTAATGGAATTAGGAAACCCCTTTCCAAAACATGAAAAGTGGAGGTAATGGTTCATGTCCTCCACCTATACATTCTTACATATTGGTCAGAGAAAAGCATCCTCTGGTAGGAATAAGTAAACTTCTATATCAATAACCATTTTGTCTTAGTGATAAGACATATTGGTTATTAATATAGATGGTTGCTTAGCTTGTTCCCAACCCCAAAGGCTGCTTTTGTTTAATAAAAACAATACCTTAGACTGAAATGTAATCACATGGTATGTCTACTTGTAATTACAAGATTATCCTAAAAACGTTTAATAATTAAATCGACGTACGCTAAGATCCAAAAAACTCAGGCGTGTTAGGTTCGTGTGCGTTGATACTTTTTCTGTTATGGAGAAACGGTACGATTAGAAGAGTATATTATATGATAGTGGCAGGCTGTTAGGCAACTCTCTTGTCTGTATCTTAGTTTATCCATGACCTCATCTCGCACGTACTCATAAACCACTTTTGAATTATAGGGTTTTATCAAAACAAGCGGTTTTTGTTGCTCGCGCTGACCATAAATTTCTAACCAAGCAAGGACCGTCATCAGACACCATCGTGTAAGCACCCCCTCTCGTAACTATGCAATTAATTTTTCCATTTAACCAATAAACAATTAGAAATTGGTTCAGTTATCTCTCGTAAACAGGTGACATTGAAGCATTCGAAGCCAATTTAGTTTGGTTCGTGTGCAGAAGCTGTACGTTGTAGCAGTGAAGTATGGCAAGAGGAAAGATCGCGATCAGAAGAATTGAGAATCCGGCAAGCAGGCAGGTGACCTTCTCAAAACGGAAAAGCGGATTAATTAAGAAAGCCAAGGAACTAGCCATCCTTTGCGACGCTGAAGTTTTAGTAACCATCTTTTCCAGTACTGGTCGCCTCTATGAATACTCAAGCTCCAGGTTCTTATTCTTTCCTTCTTATTAACCATACAAAATATTGATTTGAATCTTAGTCTACTCTTCTACGTCTTAATTATGTTTAATTTTCGGTCGCGGAAATAAATAGCATCTTCTTTAATTTGAGTGACGGCTGAGACATTTTATGCTCAGTTAGAACAAAAGTAATTATATACTAACAATTAGGAGAATTTAACTCATTATCCTTGGAGCTAGGTGAAAATAATACCCGTCAATCATAATTAAGCAACAGTTAACAAATCTTTCTAATTGGTCCTTCGGCCTGCAGGGCACTAGACGAATATAAATGATGTAGTATGAATTAGGATGAGAATCAATATGAGCGTGTTGGAAAATTTGGGGAGACTATTAGAAGCACATTAAGGAAAGTGTTTTTACTTATTTTCTCAACTTGGCTTTAATAAAATGACCATTGGTACCTATTTACTTATCAACACTGTTCTAACGTGCACCTTTTTTTCCAAACACATGTATAGAATCATGTATGCATTCTTATATTAATATTCTAATATACGAACAAAGTAAATACATATACTGGAGATGAATCGAGGTAGTCATACCTTTTAAATAGCTTGGTGAAGATACACATAACTTGGCCTTATGACGTCACAAACTCGAGCTCAACTTCTTTCTTGAATCTTCCCTAACTCATCATATCTTTACGGCCTCTTTGATGCAACCACACCGTTCATCTTTCTACTTCAAGAAAGCTTTGGTTCAACCGATTTTTGTTTCAGCTTCCTCCAATCCTCTTCATAGATGACTTGCGAAAATCCGACAAGTGGCCATGGAGTCTAAGTCCTTGGACTCTTGATCACTAGCGACAACAACATAAGTAAATAGAATCGTAAAAGTTTTGCAATGACCCTGTCGAAATTGGAGCTAAGATAACAAACCAACCTCCATTGTTGGCTGACCTTGAGCTCGCATAGAGAGAAGAAAGGAAGATTCTAGAGAGATGATGAAAATGGGGAAAACTTATGTATATTTTCATTAACTAACTTGAGTACTATGCACGTGTAAGAAAAAGAAAAACTAATAACGTGTAACAGGTGTATGACAGCTAATTACTAGACTACCCTTGCAACTAACTCAACTCCTAAGATAACCAACTGACTAACTAACTCAATTAACAAATAAATACAAGGCAACAATATACTACAACTCTATAATCTCAATATCCCCCCCCCCCCCCCCAAGTTGGAGGTGAGGAACTCACTGCCAACTTGTGAAGAAGATTCGAATGCTTGATCCCTGTGAGAGCCTTTGTTAAAATGCCAGCTAGCTGATCATGAGTAGAAATATGATTAAGTGTAATCAGACCATTATGCAGTTTGTCTCTCATAGAGTGGCAATCGACTTCTATATGCTTTGTCCTCTCATTGAACATATGGCTCCTAGCAATGTGGATAGCTGCCTGGCTATCACAAAAAACTGGAATAGGATGAGTACATGGAACTGTTAGTCCTTCCAACAATCTCTGCACTCATACCAATTCTCCAACCACCTTTCTCAAGGATCTGTACTCTGCTTCTGCAGAAGACAATGAGACAGTAGTTTGCTTCTTTGATTTCCAGCTAATAGGACTGCCTCCAACGAGTACAAGATACCCACTTACAGATCTACTTGAATCAGGGCAAGCTGCCCAATCTGAGTCATAATAAGCTGTGACTTTGTAAGAGGGATCATTAGACAGAAAAGTGCCTAGAGTAGAATCATTCTTCAGGTACCTGAGTACATGTACAACATCCTTAAGGTGGGGCTCTCTTTGTGCCTGCATAAATTGGCTTGAGTGTTGTACATTGTATGCAATATCCAGCCTTGTGTTTGTGAGGAAGTTGAGCTTCCCAACTAGTTTTCTATAATAAGATGGATCATAAAGCAAAGTACCTTCTTCAGTCTTTAGTTTGGTTGATGAATCTAGAGGAGATGAAAAAACAAAATACCCCAGACAATCATACTCTTTCAATAGGTCAGTGGTGAACTTCCTTTGGGGGATCAACACTCCATCATCCTTATAGAGAATCTCTAGCCCCAAAAAGTAGTGTAACTTGCTTAAGTTTTTTATTCTGAACTGATTATGCAAGTAAGTCTTCAGTGTTTTAATTTCCTCAAGGTCGGTCCCAGTGAGGATCACATCATCAACATATATAGCTACAAATATAGATGAATCACCTTGCTTTTATAAAACAAGGAGTAATCATTGTTTGAATGTCTAAAACCTCTAGAATACAAGGACTCTATCAACTTAACATACCATTGTCTACTTGCTTGTTTAAGTCCATACAGAGACTTCCTTAGTCTGCACACAAGCTGTGTGTTTTCTACCATTAGGCCTTGTGGGATTTCCATATATACTTCTTCATGTAGGTCCCCATAGAGGAATGCATTATTCATATCCAGCTGATAAAGATCCCATCCTTTCTTTATTGCAGTACTGATCAGGGCTCTAACAGTGGTCATCTTAACCACTAGAGAAAAAGTTTCTGTAGTCAATCCCAGCTTCCTGTGTATATCCCTTCATTACCAGAAGTCTTGCTTTGTACGTTTCCACACTTCCATTTGCTTTGTGTTTTATTTTGTCACCCACTTGAATCCTATGGTTTTCTTTCCTATAGGCAACTTAACTAGATCCCAAGTATGGTTAGCATATAAAGCTTCAAATTCTTGTGTCATTGCTACTTTCCAGGCAGGATTCAAAGTTGCCTCCTCATAAGAGTATTGTTTACACTCATGTGAAATGTTCTTAACTAGTTGCTGGCTGTCATGGCTCAATGTATTGAATGACACATAATGGTTATTGGAGAAAAAAGCAGTAAGTGAAGTTGAGACTGATTGATGTTAAAGGTTTGTATTGTTGCTTAAGTGATTGTTTGATTGTAGATTGGGTAGTGTATAGACATAGTCCTTGAGGTGTGAAGGTATGCTGAGTGTTCTGCTTGATCTTCTATGTTGTGTGTTATTTGGTTGATTAACATTGAGTTCTATGTTGTGTGGTACTTGATTGAAGGATGTTGTGTGATACTCTGAATGGCCTTCAGGTGAAACATTTAGTTCTGGATCTGGGCTCATATGTGCAATGTGGTATGGTGTGTTTGTAGGGTGGCAATTAATTAGTGCCTGGTGAGTGAGGGCCTTCAGATATAAGACTGTTAGTGACAGAAGTTGATGCATTTCTATCATGATTATAATGATCATCAGGTGTAATCACAGTAGAATTGGGATATGGAGAATTGTGGTTTATCATATGCAATACAGAAGGGAAAAAAGAATGTTCAGGTGAAATGGAAAAAGGAAAAACATCTTCATGAAACACAACATCTCTAGACACATGTACCCTCTTTGCGGCTAAATCAATGACCTTATATCCTTTGATCCCAAAAGGATATCCTACAAACACATGGGGTGTCATGACCCATTTTCTGAACAAGCCGGGACCGACACTCGATTACTAAATATGACCGAGCGAACCATCTCTGCTTATCAAATTTATTATAACTCCAAACTTTATATGCAACAAGGCAATACTCTAACCAAATACTTTTGATTAATTTAAATATTTAACCAAAACAACTCCAAAACTTTATTCGTAGTAACTACTGAATTACTGCTAAGTTATAATCAAAAACATCTGAATCTTAACCCAACGACTATGTCTATGAAGCCTCCACTGATAAACTGACGCACTGCTCAGGACATGAGATTTTCTGGCCAGTTCTCTAAGTAAACAAAGAAATAACTAAATAAAGATAACTCTACGGAATACTCCACGAACAAAAGCGGAGCTCACCAATAGCACTGGAAGAGAAAGAAGTCCCAACCAGTAGCCTGCTCGCCTGCAAATCTGGTTCCTACATGGTACCGCAGACCAACGTAGGTTCCCAAAAGAGAACGTCAATACCATCCATTGTACTCAGTGAGTCTCAACAACAGGGGGCAAAACTTTAATAACATATACATTACGAGCAAAGGTTCTAATGCATGTAAAATATAAAGCTTATAAGAATAATTCTAAAATAATTGCATAATAGCAGTTTATGAATATTCTAAAAGAAATTCTTTTCTTTTTCTTTCTTATAAAAAAAATACTTCACTTTATACTTTGGGAGTTCCAAATATCCTGACTTAATTTTGTCTCAGTCATCGTGTGATCGGCACGGGTTCGATCCCAACCTGATCGAATAGGCCCAATCCACGAGGTGTCACTCGCTTCATGGTTCTCAGCGCTCATGTATCATACCTTAGCATTGCTAAGTAATTTCTCAGCAACGAGACCCTCGGCTCATGTTCTCCCTACTTTGGCACAAGTAGTTTCAGGAAGTCAATGCCTTGGTCAGGACCCTTGGCATGGACGATGACCCCTTCTCAGAATAAAGGATACTCCCAAAAATCTTTTTTTTCTACTTCTTCTTATGACTTTTCGAGTCTAAATCTTTTCTTTTTAGAATATCATGTACATGCTCGGGCTGGTATCCTTAAATATAAAGCATGACATAAGAATGAAATAAACATCTAAAAGTATTTCTAAAGATTCTTGCTTCTTCATAAATTTTCAACATGAAAATAGCATAAAAGAATAACACATTATATGCTGATTTTGACACCCATAAATTAACATCTGACCAATTACAAAAAGCGAAAGAAGCATATTCCAAGAATCTTACGTATCAAAATTAATTTTAAATAATAAAATATTACTTTCTTACATTAGTAAAGACAATACTATTCAACATTATAGAAAGAAATTAAAGGTGATAACGTGAACTTTTTGTTGGCTTGTTCCCATCTTTAATTAGTGCTAAATTTATTCTCCATATAGCAAATTTAGCTATTGGAGATATTTTACTGGAAGTTGATAATAAGGTCTCCAACTAGCTGGAATTATAATCTAGTATTAATGTTCTTGTTGACCAATTTTAGAATACAGAAATCCGTAACGATAGTTCAATTGTTGTTTAAGGTTTTACACGGTTAATTAAAGA